GAAATATGATGATTGGTACTTGAGTTATCAAGCAAAAAGCTGAAAATTAAACAATTATGCTAATAAGGTGATTAATATGCACAAATATTTACCCCAAAACTAATCAGGTCTCTGCACAGTCCTTAAGTAACTATATACCAAGTTTCATTGAAATGTGATGATTACTACTTGAAATATGAAAATTAATTAATTATGCAAATTAGGTAATTAATATGTACTGATATTACCCAAAAAACTATCAGGTCTGTGCAGTGTCCTATGATATCTATGTACCAAGTTTTATTGAAATGTGATGATCAGTACTCGAGATATCAGTGGAAAAGCCAAAAATTGATTAATCATTATGCAAATTAGGTAATTAATATTGCACAGATTTGTACCCAAAACTAATCAAATCTGCGCATTAGTTCAGAGAATCTATGTGCCAAGTTTCATCAAAATCCAACGAGTGGTTCTTTAGATATCAGTGGAACAATCAAGGAACAGCTAAAAATCAGCTAATTATCATGCAACTTAGGTAATTAATATGCATGGATTTTTACCAAAACCTAATCAAATCTGTGCATTGGCCCAGAGCATCTATGCACCAAGTTTCATCAAAAATCAATGTATGGTTCTTGAGATATCAGTGGAAAACACACACACACACACACAGACAGACAGATACTAACTCCCTTTTTGTGCTTCACACACAGGAGTAAAAAATTTGAGTAAATTTCAAAAGGTACATGATGTTCTAAGTCAGTAACTGGTGAAATTTCATTCTCAATGTTGTCAAATTCATCATCGCGAAAATTAAATGATCTATAACATATTCATACCAATTACATTGATGCTCAAATAATACCCGAGGCCCACTGAAAAAAGCTTTTGCTTCTTGACCGAAGGTGAAACTGAAAAATGGTGCCACTTTAATTGGAGGGGGATGGGTGTTAAAATCATTCAATACCACAATCATATATACATGTATATACATTCAACGGCCTTGAATATAAACAGTGAAGGTTGAATTGGATCCACAAAACATAAAATAAAACTTCTCCACTCGGCCCACTATGTGGCACATACTTCATGAGAACAAAAAATTGGGAAAAAAAATGTGCTAGACACGAGTTTCAGACACAAAGGAATGATGAGAAGCAAAATCTTGGGGGGGGGGGGGCACTTAAAAAAATAAAGCAATTTGTATACATAATACTGTATTTAGTCTATTGAGAGCATTTTTAATGGAAGCTTAAATATCCAATAGTTGTACCCACAGTAACAGTATGTTTTACAGTATGTATAGAGTATTAAAAAAAATAAATACACATACCTCAATGTCGTTGTCATCGT